ATCTTAAGTTATTTATATTTTAGAGAAAGATATTAGTTCTGAAACTGGAACTCATGTAGTATTGATTCAAACATTATTATTAAATTGTATGTGTTGTTTAGTTCAGACAAAATACATAAGTGTAATCAAAAGATGGACATTTCAGACGAGTATATTCAAAAAAAATTTGTGAAAAATCTACACATAATATAATGATAAAATTGGAAAATGAGAGTCTCATTTCAAATTTCATGGTCTGAGAGAAATTCTAGGAAGCTCTTTTTCGTCATAGTGCACAATATATCTTTATGTTATGTGTAGATTTGTGACAAAAATTATTATATTTGTCAAAAAGATCCATGTTTTGGCTACACATATGTACTTTGTCAAAACTTAACCACACATATAATTTATTATTTAATATTTGAATCAATGTTACCTGAGTTCCGATTTCAAAATTATCACTTTCAATAAGATATATTCAATGTTTTAAGATTTTCTATTTCAAATTTCGTGAAGTGGGAGTGAAAGTAGGAAGAGTATTTTTATCATCGCAATTATTATCTACTTCATATGAAAAAGTATCAATATAAAGATTTGAACTATGGTCTCTTCAAACAAAAACAATAATCACAACCTATTACACTAAACAAATTTGTTATATCTTAATAAATTGTAAACATGCATTAAGCGAAAATTTGAAAAGCAGAGGACTTTTCACGGTTAGCTAGCCTATTCAATCTTATGAAAAACAAAATTTAATCTGTGATTTATAATGTAGTTTATTCAAATGTAGTATTTTATCAGGTAGTAAAAATCGAATACATGGTCGAATATCGGGCCCTGTGCTAGTATTCATGGCTCCAAATTGCAGCATTTTGAATTTCCAGGCCATAGAGCACTTCACGGAGGGGGATTTAGGTCATTGTACTTGATTTAAATGAGGATGTGCCTTTTGAAGCCCTCATCCCCAACATCTGTCGCGCCCACAATTTGTTCCCGACCGACTCTGCTGTTAGGCAATAGGGTCGTGCTATGGCCCAACACATAAATCCGAGCCCACTGTTGTTTCCAACCCAGCGCCATTAGCTCATCCGGTGTAGTGTGATTAGTCCGACGTAATGTGGTCAGTCTTTGCTTCGGAATTTGCTTCGTTCTTCCAGTGCTCTTCGGCGTATACTGATCGACTAAAATCAGCCACCAAACTCCAGATACATTCAGGTAAGGGGGAAGCTTTTGAATGGCGCCCCATTGATTTCAACCTATTCATTGGAGTTGAATTTTTTTTGTTACTCCCTTCAACTCATATGCCTCCAGGATTGATTTCAATGGATCCCAATATATATAGAGAAGGGGGGATTCTTTTGGATGGCGCCCCATTGATTTCGACCTATTCATTGGAGTTGATTTTTTTTTTGTTTACACCCTTGGTTGTGCATTGTTCCCTTTCTAGCTTCAATTCCCCACCAACGTAGAAGAGTTGAAAGCAGCAAGTGCATCAACGATGGGGCAATTACCTCGCCTGGCCCTCTTTTAGTTAGTGAAACTTTGATCATATTGCTCGATAAATGTTCACGTCCAATTGATTGGTCCCGAAATAGTTAATTGGATGTTCCTCTTCCATCTTCCAATTGATACATCAAGAGCGGCGGATATACACCCTATCCAATATTGAAGTTCATGATTTTTGTAGTACAAAAGAGAGTCCACTCTACAAATTACGTTCAACCCAAATCCAAGGGTCGAGCCCTTGAGAGATGCAACTGACATTCCATTAACCAGATTCAGATTCTTCAAACCTTCTGACTTCCAAATAGCCTATGAAAATTATCAATATTTATAAGGTTCAATCACTTCACCATAATCTCTAATCATCATTCATGAGATCATACAATTTAGTAACTATGTTTTTTGATAGATTTCCTTTGGATTAACTGGCCGTTTGTGAATTAAATGTTCACAATGAATTATTGTGTGTTTTAGTTTTCTCTGTTGACTCTTTAGACATGAATTGCTCTTATTTTAGCTTATGATTCATCATCAACGGTATCCCTTTGTGGGGCAATAAATTCAATTTTTGGGATTAACCTATCTATAAAATAATGTGTGTATGCAATGCATCCTTATTTTTTTAATTTATTAATTATAAATACATGTGCTACATTTTAAATTATCTGATAAATCAAATTTTGAATATGATTAGGACAGTTATGAAGCACAGAATATGGTTGGATTTTAAATTTGTGGTCCGTATTTACCTTTGGGATCGAGATACCCACATATGGACTTATAGGATCATAATTCATAATCATACTGTATACATTGTGTTCCGTCATTCTTATAACAGATTTGATGGGCAAAGTTCACCATACGGAACCAACATTTCCACTATTAGCAGTGTCAGCGCATGAAAGGTTGAAAAATGTATATGTCAAACTATTAGAGTTTTCACTTTATTCTCATTTGATTTTGACTTGCATTCTTATGTGTTTAGTTCAACTCAATCTTTGACCTCATATGTATTACGAGACCTGTGATAAGATTGGTATTGAAAGACTCCTTGATTATTGAACTTGAAGTTGTAATACCCGATCAACCTCAAGCAACGTTGGTGTGTATACTTACTTTAGTGTATGTAGAACAAACAAGAGGTATATCATTTCTAACGATTCGTTCACTTTTGCACAATTACAAATCCATTTCATACTTCCAAGATCATATTACAAACACTAAGTTGTTTTATTATTATTAGGGAAGTATTACTTTGCCCCATCCCAACATTGAAATTAATTTTTAATTTGAATGCTCCTTTGTTCCACCATTTATTCAACCCGTAAGTAATTGTTCTTATGCCAAAGAATATATATCCATGCTCATGAATATAACTACATTATAACATCGCTATATGCCACTGTGTATTATAGACTAAGGAAAATGAAAACCATTATTAAAGAGGACTCCTATATATGAAGTTGCTCAACAACGTGTAAACAATTGTTCAATTGACAACCTAACTTCATTTTGATTATCTCCTTCATCCATGGTAAGAGATTTGTAATTCTACATTTTTTGTATCGACCTATTTTAATATAATTATATATTTATACTTCATCATTATTTGATTTTATTTCATTTTGACTACTAAATATTTGCTCTAGGGAAATTACGAAATTGTTGCTGGTCATATATGTGATATGAGAGTCACTTGGGAATGCCCTCATACTCAATACATTGTCAACCTCACTATTAGTGACAACTTTGCGACATGTCCAATGTATTTTCAATAATACAACTTTAGATCCTTTGCCGAGCTGTGATCAAGAAGAATGTTTTCTACTAGAATAAACACTATAGAGAGATATTGAACTCTAGCAGAGAGCAATCATTTTCTTTCATTATTAAAGTTAATTATGTATGTATGTATTATGAAAAACAAATCTTTCAACTGTATGTTCTACTTAACTATTGAAAGATGATTACTTATATTCATTTCTTTATTTTCGCTTAAAAATAAAAGTTAATTCTTACTTCTTACTACATATTTCTCACCCTTTTGTTATACTCATATAAATTATATATAATTCAACCATTTTCATATATTAATTACAAAAACACACGTCACAATAAATTTTTTAGCATCTATCATATACATTATTATAATCCATATTCACAAGCTAAATTCTCCCGACCAACGGGTCAGGCCCTATGCTAGTGCACTAAAGACCAAATCAAATGAAACTGCCCAAAAGGTTTATTTCCCAATTTTGTTTTTCTAAGCCCTAAGTGGAACAGAAAACAACTCCTCAATTATTATTATTAACAAAAATAAAAAATAAAACAACCTACCACTTTGCAGAAATCGTGGTCAATTTATTTTAAAAAAATGAGGGGCAAGGAATTATACTATATAATTATATTAATGTAGAATAAAAAATAAACAAGTCTCAGGTGTGACTTTTATTCTTTGACCACCACAAAACAAACCAAAAACAATTTAAGAAAAAGTAACATTATTTTATTCTTAAATGTTTCTTCTTCCGTATCATAGGGAATGGAATCTCATCTCAGTGTCAGTGAAGAACTGAATCAGTGGTTGGAAATTCTCATCCGTGTAGTTTCTGGTTTTAAGTTTTAACACAAATAGTGGTGGAGCTCGGGAGGCTATAGCCCCACTCGATTCTCAAAATCATGTAAAATTATATGTAAATTTTGTAAATTGGCAAATTATAGTAGTAGATAAGGTATTGTCCCTCTCGCAAGTTTGAATTCTCTAGGCATAAATGGCTCCTGCTCATTTGAGTTTCTGACTCCGCCACTGAACGCAACCTCAATCAATGGTACGTGGTTTATAAATCGATAAATTGATTTTCCTCGAGAGACAATGGTTCACTAAATCAAATGAATAAATTTTCTTAGTCAAGTAAAATGCAAATTTGTAAACACGTCTATATATATATAATGTGTCACTACAGGAAAATACACCTTTCATTACAGGAAATCCCGTGACCAAAGACACATATCCCGTGACTAATTTGATTTGCCACGGGTACTTTCCCGTGGCAGGAAGGCCCGTGATCAAACGTCATTCGCCACGAAATATCCTGTGATTGAAAATGTTTCACAACGGGCGAAATCCCATGACAAGTAATCTCTTTTGTCACGACAAATCCCGTGACAAAGCAATTACCATGGGAATATTGCCATGGCCAAAACATTAAATAGCAATGGGATGTCCCGTGACTAAGTGTGTTTATTTATCACGGTATTAACTCTTTAGTCACAGGAGTATGGCCTTCAGAATGTTCCTTACAAATCATGGGGTTTCGCACAATGGTCACAGGAATCCCGTGATTGTTATTCTCCTTTTTTCTTTTTGACAAATTATTCTACCATTATTCATATGCAATAACAAGTTTCATATTAATAATATGGGATTGTTATTAGTTATTACTAAAAGTCTCATCTGCCAATTCCATCCAACTAATCTTATGAAAATCTGTCGCTAAAATACAAATATATATATATATATATATATATATATATATATTCTTGTGAATTATATTCACAAATGTACATTGATCGATATTAACATACAATTAGGAAGTTTAGTTCTTGTAGTATTCTGATCATATAACATGATATAAAATGATCAACCATTCACAAAATATCAATGCTACTACAAAATAATTATGATAGTCTCCATCCTTCGTCAAAATAAGATCACCACCGCACTCTATAAATGTGCACGAAGGGCTTAGTCTTCTTGTATTTTGCCCTTCTTGTGTTGTACGCCTAAATAATAAAAGATAAATTACAATAGTGAGATTCATTAAATAACATGGAAACCATATATTAAAAGAAAAACCAGAATATATACTAGGGAAGCCTTCTATAAAAAAAATACTAGGACTTAGTATCATCCTCCCAAATAATAGAAATCTAAATACAAGCCTTAAATAATATATTCACACCCTTCCCAAATAAGTACCATTAGAGCCAATATTTCTATCAAATTTATATTGTTTACTTAGGAATTAAACTTAATTGGTCTCCATTAATTAGGGGTACCTGTCAATAGCTAAAGACAATGCTAGCGTAATAAGAGAAATGAATGAACAAAATGAAGTCCAAACTTGTGGTTCACAAGTTCTGAACCAAAGACAGCAAAAGAGGCAGATGATACCCCTGTTATGACACAACAGAAGAGACTAAAGACACCTCACAACTAAGACAAAGAGAGCAAAGTAAGCAACACATCATATCAAAACGCTAACATCCACAACTGAATTCTCCAAACCGCGAATACTAGCTCCTCCCAAGAAATAATCAATATCCCAACTAGAAATGATAAAAACACAGTCCAAGCATGCTGAAAATTTAAAACAGAAAAAACCAAGTAGCTTCATGGTGTTCTTTCCTCTTCATAGAAAATACATTACAAACTAAAACTTAGAGAAAAAACTTACAGAAAAAATTAGAGGATTGCAGACCACCAAAACGCCACAAATAGCTGCAAAAAGACAACATAAAATGAAGCACAAGAATCATCAGCAACATATATATACAAGAATCCTGCTACTAGTTTTTGTTTATCCTTTTTTCTTACCCTCCATTCTGTTTAGAGGAAGCTACCATAGATAAGAAATAGCAACAACATATACATTTCAAACCAACAGAAAAGTACCAATTATTGCACAAACAAACAGCTCCAACACAAAAGCAAGTAGTAGTCACAAGTACCTAATTTTGTCTATTTTGACTATTTTCAACCATTTGTTTCGACCTAATTCTGTCTATTTTGACTATTTTCAACCATTTTAGCCTATCCAAAAAGAAAACAATAATACTCAGTTAAAATATAAAAATGAACTAAGTTAAAATGTAAAAGCTTTTAAGTAATTACATGTCTTGCATTTGCTGCCACATCCTTAATTATATCTCCTTCTTTATAAGTGTCAAACACTAGCTCTGCTACAGTTGGAGCTCTTCCCAACTTCTCAGTCTACAAAATGCATAAAGAAACTTCAAACCGGACATAATTTTTAGCAGGTCCAAATGGAAGAAGAAACTTTCAAGCACCAAATATAACATATGCATAGAAGTCCAATAAACTTGGCTGGTTGTTAGACCTTATTCAAGCAACCAGCTGTAATTATTAGCTTAATTAACTGTGAAAATAATCGGTAAGGTAATTACCAAGTCCAACCCAATTTGTCGAACCGGTTTCCTTCCACTGTGCTGATTCATTGTTTTCTTTGCTATGTTTTCTTCATTTCTCTTACTTATCTCCTGCTTAAGGATAACATCAAGTGTTCAACAAAAAACTGATTTGCAAAGCAAGTAAGCAAAAATAAATAGGAGAAATCAGTAGAGTAAAATTATCTAACCAAAAATTCTTTAGATAGAAACTTCTCCTTCACAACCCACTCCCAATCTTCTTTGTTGAGGAATCTTGGAACATCTCCGAGAATATCTTCCAAGTTGTCACGAACTTTCACATGTTTACAATTCATCTTAGATCTCCAAGTTCTCCACATTTCATTCATATGGTCGAAAACATCCTCCTTTGCAGATTCCATATCAGGATTTGTAAAATATTCCTAATACAAAATTATAAGTACTTAGCCGCAAATTTCCTAGACTTGATAAGTAAGTTCATATTTCAGATTCAAGTAGGAGTAGCCGCAAATTTCCTAGACTTGATAAGTAAGTTCATATTTCAGATTCAAGTAGGAGTAGTTACGTACCTTAACTGCAGCCCACATATGTTCTAATTCTTCTCTACCTATCTCATCCCAATCCTTAACTCTAACCGGGCACATCTGTGAGTTCCGAATAATTGTGCCAAGGTAGCTTGACCAGACGGATCCATTAGGACCAGCACCACGCCTGTTTTTGAAGATGATTGGCAACTTTTGCCCAGGTTTCAAGTTAATAAGTTGTTTGCAAATTGTTCTGCCCCGTTTTTTCCTTTCTTTTGTCACTCCTAAAACAGTATAATCAGTAAAAACATCTATAAGCACAAAATGAAGATGTAACACAACATGTACTATAAATCATATGCGCTAAAGGTATTAATGAAAACATAATGATGGTTATACATCCAACTGACTGTACAAGCAATGACTAGGGAGTGAAATCCATTCACATATTACTATGTCATAGCTCACCTTGATCAGGCTGCTGATTTTCAGTTGTATTTTCAGCCATGACCACTTCTTCCACTGGTGGTGGGCGTACAACACTAGTCCTAGATGTATTCATATCTCCATTGTTTCTTGTCACACCGACACCTAGAAATACATAAACAACATAAAAATTCAGCAGCATATTATAGGTTATAAGTTTGTAACAAAAGAGAGAATCCAATGCACAATAACACAAACAAGGTTGCATGCTTTCAAATAGCTAAGAGCTTCATAGCTCACCTTGATTGACAGGCCGCTGATTTTCAGTTGTATTTTCAGTCATGACCATTTCTTCCACTGGTGGTGGACGTATAACACTGGTCCTAGATGTATTCGTACCTCCATTGTTTCTTGTCACACCAAAAGTTGGAAATATATGAACAATATAAAAAGTTAGCAGCATATTACAGGTTATAAATTTGTAACATACAAGACAATCCAATGCACAATAACACAAATTTTTACCCATCATAGGTTGCCTATGTGATGTATCACGAGAAGTTGAAGAAACATTTGGTGTAGTGATTAATGAATCGAAGCTTGCTCGTTTTGTTATCCTCCTTATGGAACCAGGTGCAACAAAGTTTGTCACACCTTTCTTCTTTGTAGCACCCAATGATTTCAGCCTGCTGCCCTGTCATTTAATATTCTGTATACAAAGGAATAACATCATAAATAAAGATACACACAGTTTTATAGATTCTAGTTCAGACATGTTAATTCTTGTTCAATACAAACATAAAGATAGCAAGAATGTCAAACAATAAGTTACCAAACACAACTAAGGTTTTAATTACAACCTAGTTAAACACGCCTGCAAGTAGAGGTGGCAATTTCAATCCAATCCACCAATCCAATCCATCAATCCATTAAAAATATCCACCTAATCCAATCCATTTAAATCCAATCCATTTTATCCAAATCCAATTGGATTGGTGGATTCATGGATTGGATCCATGGATCATTGGCAAATTACGGTTTAGTACCTATAATTTTTATTTTTTACATTTTGGTACCTAAAATTTAATTTTTTATACGAAAAATATCATTGGAAAATTACGTTTTGGTACCTAAAATTTTTCATTGTGACATTTTAGTACCTAAACTTTTTATATTTTACATATTGGTCCTTGGTTGAGGATGTCATTTGGATTCATGGATAATCCACCAATCCACTTGATCCAATCCATGAATCCACCAATCCATTAGATCCAATCCATTTGATCCATGGATCCACCAATCCAATCCACCAATCCACCAATCCAAACCATTTGCCACCTCTACCTGCAAGTAAACATGGCACGCACATACAACACTACAACATACATATATATATATATATATATGTATATATATATATATATAACAAATGCATGACTAGTCAACAAGGATTGATCATTATCATGCTTGCTTTCGTTTCTTCCTCTTTGTGTATACTGTTCTTTACTCTTATATAGTTAGTTTACTGTACCAAAATATTAATAAAAATTGTATAATTAAATAAAAAAATAGAAGAATGAGACAAAAGCATAGGGAGGAACAGTGAGTGTCTTAGTCATAAACTATCTCATAACTTGAATAAACTGATAAGTCACGAACCCCTTTTTTCCAACACCTGCACCCACAGTTTCTATCCTCTATCTCTTTGACGAAACTAACTTGAAGACCAAGGTATATATTTAACCAAACCAAACGGAACCTATCCACCTTGCCAAAATCCAAACAAAGCCGCACCATTATTAGTTAGCTCTCCATCTCTTTTTTTTTCTCTCTCGTCAATACCAGCAAACCTAAACTAAACCATATATTTCATTATATAGTTTGAAGAAGCTACCAACTAAGGAAACATGAAGAGGCAAAATGACTCGCTCCTGGTGCAATTAGAGTGGGATAACATAAATGATAACATCATAATAGTATATTCAGTAGTGAGACAGAACTTAAATTACATCTCATTGCAAATACCTATAAGCAGAAACAACAGTCTCGGCTTTAGGGAAGACTTTAGGTGCTTTAAGATCTTTGACAAACACACTATCTACTCTAGAGCAATAGGCAAGGATGACCTGTCAATTAACGTTACCTATAACATAAAAGGTTGTAATTATACTGATTTAAAGAACCAAAGGTAACCAAGTGGCAAACAATTGAAAAATGATGTGTGGAACTCTTTTTTAATACCAATTACTACAGTAGCAGCCAAAAAATGTACAGTATAACAAATTGGGACATCATCCCACTATGCTCCATCACCCTAAAAAACACACAGAGCAACAACTACAACTTCCAGAGAAGCTACAGACTTTCATTTAATTGCATTATAAACCTTATTATTTTGGTTTCATATAAACAAAGAAAAGAAAATGAAAGAACCAAAACTACAAGCCCATGGAGCTTATTCTTGCATTCTGCTCCCCAAACTTCATGTACTTGATGGCTCTAATAAGTTAAGTTAGATTCTAAGTCTGGTGTTCAGTTTCAGAGGACTTTGTTAACGTACCTCGTATTGGTGAGTATGAATATGGTCAGGAGAAACTAAGCCACTTCTAATATGTTCGAGGAGTACCTAGTAAAAGGCTTATCAAGCTCTTTATCCCCAATCATGCATAATACAAAGAATAAACATTGTATTCAAAGGCAATCCAAAATCCACTATACGAATAAAAAAGGCAAGAAAACTACGAAAAGAATGAGAACATATCAAAACCATAGGCGCAAAAGAAGAACTAATCACAGGAAAACCGAAGTTGGAGGATGGAAACCAAGCTGAGACAGGAAAAATCACCGGAAGTGCATATGAACATACATATACAATAAGGAGTAGAGATGAAGGTGGAAGCTGAGCTACTAACCTTGAAGCCAAGCGAATCCTTGCTAATTTTCGTAGGAATACCGGAAAGCAAGCTTATAATCCAGATGAGAGAAATCGATCATTCATATTTTAAAACTCCGATTTCAGTCGCTTTGCTCTCAGCTTCCACCTGTCTTGAGCGACTCCTCCACAAACCCTCTCCTATGACTGCGATCCCTTTGCAATGCTCCTCTGCTAGACCAGCGACTTCACCAGTCACACATGGTGATAAACGCACGCGTTCTAATCATCGACGACGGGCATGATTTGGGGCAAAGAAAGAACCAATGAGAACTAGAAATTTTAGGGATTTTTCAGAGTTCTAGCAGACAGCCCGTGTGAAAAATTCTCTTTCTTCCAATGAGCGTTTTCTCTTCCCCTTTTTTTATCGGTTTCTATTTCCCTTGTTATTGGTAAAGCAAAATTGAAACCCAAAATATCTGCCAAGATTTCACTATGGAGGGAAAATGAAAAGTTTGCCGCCAGGGGCATTGTCACGGGAAAGTTCCAATTAAATACCATGGGAATTAATCCCATAGTTTATTACAGTTGTTGGGTTAGAAACAACACGGGAAGTATTTACCGTGATGGTAATTAAGCATTTGACCATGGGGAAAATCCCATGATTAAAGTCCCGTGATCAAATGTCATTATTCTTGTAGTGTGTACTGTGACCAATAGTTGTTTGTGTTGAAATTATGTATTTTACTTACTCTAGGTAGCTTATTGTAATTTCCCTTATTACGTAAGTTCCTAGTCTAAGGGGAATTAGGGTTACATTATGTCGGTAACCTTATGTATATATACCACTGCAGTGTACTATGAAAAACTAAGCTAAATAACATTGACTCTGGAGAGTGCTACCTCTCCCGTGGACTAGTCCTGATTATCAAGGAAAACACCTAATTCGATGTTCGTGTTCTTATTTTCTGAGTTCTTATCATGGTAACAGAGCCTCTTGTCTAAAGGTTCTCGGCTGCTCTTTGTTGTCTTGGTTGCTCTCCGGTGGTCTTGACTGCTTTTGTGAGTTCGTCTCTGTTGCTTGGGTTATTGGCTGCAGGGGTTTTCTTTGGGACGGCTGCTTGTGGGGATCTGCCTTCCTTGTTCCTTTTTGCTGCGGTTGTATTCCCAGCTCATCTCGTCGGATTTCTTGTGTTGCGGTTGTAACTCCCAGCTCCACGCCTGGTGCTTGTATTTTGCGGTGATTATTCCCAGCTCGGCACCTGCTTCTTGTCTTTTGCGTGCTTTTTTTTTCTCCAGCTATGTGGTCATCTGCGTAGGTTGGTTCCCTTGTTCTAGTCGCTGTTGTTGTTTGCTTGCCTTGTCCCTTTGCTTGTGCTAGTGTCCTTGTGATTGTCTGGTTTCTTTGGGCTATCATGGAGACAGGAAAACATGATGCAGTGCTAGCACATTTTGATGGGAAGAATTTCCTCTCTGGTAATTTCAGTTTTAGACCTTTGTTCAAGGGAAGCGCCTGCTTCCCCTCTTACAGGAAGAAACTCAAGCCAATGGAGACGGATGAAAAGGCTTTGGCTGATTGGGAGGCTGAAAATGCTCAAATGATCAATTGGCTCATGGGTACGGTGGATGTGCCCACAGGTTTGAGTCTTCGTTGTTTTGAGCTGGCCAGTGATATGTGGAAACATCTCATTGCTACTAACTCTCAAGCAAGTGCCTCTTGCCAGTTTGAGATGGAATTGGCGTTATCTACTTTGGCTCAAGGAGATCGTGATATTCGCTCTTACTATCAGGAGGTTATGCATCTTTGGACTGAGTCAGATCTTGTCTCGGCTTCTCTCTCGGTTGCTCCTGTCTATGCGCAGACTATTGCTGAGCGTACTCACTCTCGGACCATGACTTTTTTGATGAAGTTGAGTCATGAGTTTTAACTAGTGCAGGCATCTATCCTCCATCGTAATGTGACTGATTTGGACACTATATTGGCTGAATTCTACAGGGAGGAGACTCGCCTCAACAGTCAAGCTAAAGTTGACTCTCAGAATCTGGCATATGTTGATGGCTTGACGGCCTTTTCTACCTCGTCTTATCGGTCACCGGACAACTCCTCACCCCGATGGTAGGGGTCCCCCGACTGCTCGTATTTGTCACTATTGTCGGGAGCCAGGGCATATTGAGCCCTTTTGTAATAAGAGGAATTGGTGTAAGTACTGCAAACAATATGGCCACATTTTGAGTGATTGTCGTCAGCGTTCCCGTCAAGCTCCTTCCCGGGAATCTGGTATGCCCCCCTCCTGCTCCTACATTTCATGTGGCTTCTCCTCGTGCGCCACTGGCTCGTCCTCTCGCGAGCTCGTCCGCGCCAGCTGGGATGTCCAAGGCGGAACTGACCAAGCTTCTCAAGGAGACTCTTCATGAAGTGATGTGTTCTACCTTTGCTACTGGTGATTCTACAGGTAATTCTCAAACTTGGCTCCTTGACTCGACAACTTTCAATCATATGACCAGTCATCTTCGATCTTTTTGTTCTCTTACTCCTACTACTCGGCAATTACAAGTTGCCAATGGGGATGTTCTTCCTGTTACTGGGATTGGTTGGGTTTTGGATCAGAGTTACATCTCACTCGTACTCTGCAAGTTCCCCGTTTAGTGCCCAATCTTATCTCTGTTGGGCAGCTTGCAGAGGATGGTTGTGAGATTCAGTTTAAAGATAGTGGTTGTATGGTGTAGGATCAGAGACGGGGAAGGAATTAGGTCGGGGACATAAACAGGATTGAGTTTATGTGTTGGATTCTCTTCAACCTCGATGTCAGACAAAGGCGGCTGGTCTGGCTCTGGACGTTGATGGTGCATTGGGAGCTCGTGGTTCATGTGGGGTTTCGACTGCCGCTTCACAGTCTTTGAATTCTAGTTTTTCGGTTAGCATAAAAGTGATGTACGAGATTCTGTTTGGGACTTATGGCATTTTCGCCTGGGGCATCCACATTCTGCTCGACTGTTACATATGTTACATAGTAACTTGCTTCCTGTGAAGTTTCGTACTAGTTCATTTTCTCTCCTACCTGCTTGAGTTGTATTGAGGCTAAGGCTTCTCAGCTTTCGTTCTCTCCCAACCCAACGACTTACATTGCTCCCTTCGATCTAGTCTACAACGATCTCTGAGGTCCAGCTCCATCTCCGTCTCATAATGGGTTTCTTTATTTTTCCTTGTTCATTGATCATTGCAGCCGGTATACTTGAATTTATTTCTTCAAATCCAAGTTGGACCTTCGATCCCATGCTCAGGACTTTGTTCGGATGATTCAAACTCAGTTTCAGAAGATTGTTAAGATAATACGTTTGGATTCTGGTGGGAGTTCAGTTCCAATGAGCTTCTTCAGTTATATAAATCGGCTGGTATTATCTCTCAACAGTCATGTCCTGGGGTGTCGCAGTAGAATGGGTTAGTGGAACACAAGAATCGTCACGTTCTTGAACTCACTCGGACTATCTTGTTTCAGTTAGGTGTTCCTGCTCATTTATGGGTTGAGGCAGCAAACACGGTTGTGCATCTTATAAATTCCCAGGTTACTCCGATCTTGGATGGTCACTCTCCCTTCTATAGACTATACTCTCGCCAACCCGAGTATGGTCGTTGACTCACTCCTACTGTCACTCTAGAAAATGGCCAAGTGTAACCACTTCCTAAAGCATAGTATAGCGGGTTTGGGTTTTAATGTCAACCCGAGTCCTAGATTTGATGACTACTCGGTGAGTTCTTGTTATCTAGCAGTAAAAATTTAGTGCAAGTCTAAACTAACAAACAAGCAAACTAACTAAACGGTTGTTTTCAAGTCAAGAGAGGACACCCGGATATGGTTCCCCCTAGACTGCAGTTAAGTCGGATTGCAATTTACCAAGTTCAGTTTTCATGAAAATTATACTGCAGAAGGTTCTTAAACAGTCTGAAGTCTCGACTAAAGGTCTCCAGACCCTCTCAATCTGAGTCTCTAGCGGGCAACTAACCTCCACCGGAGTAAACAGATTGAGGCCCTAACGAACCAAACCTCCACTACCGAATTGACTTCGGTACAGAATAGCGAATTGGCTCCTCGACTAAAGTCGCCAATTCACTACCTTCAATTAAGGATACTCTATCAACCTAGGCAGATATTCTCATTCTAGGTCAAAGCAGAAACAACAGGAATTTGATCAGGATTCAAGTCATTCAATCATTCAAACCTCAATCGAATATAATCAATTCATAAACTATGTACTTGGGTTCATACAATCAGACCTAACATACAAATCTAGGGTTCTCCATACCCAGATGAATGGGGGAACTACTCCATGGAGAGAGAAGCAAAAGCAGATTCAGACGCGGAAATCATACTGTGAAGATGGATTTTTGCTCCTGGACGTTAATCGGCACTTCTCCAAGCTCAAGTCGGGCTCCAATGGTGATGAAGATCAAGCTATGGCACTTGGGAACTCTGGTTCGTCGCTTTCTCTCTCTAGGAATCGCTCTGTCTCTCTAAAACTCGGAACCCTTGAATGTTGGCCTTCTTCTCCTTTAATTTGGCTGCCTGTCGCGATACCCGGTCGAAATACCCGGTCGGGTATTTTGGGTATCGACCGGGTATTATTTAAAACGCGCGTTTTGGTCAAGGGAGAATCCCCGGTCTGCTCCAATAATACCCGACCGGGGATTTTCGCCTCCTGCCCGGGCCCCCTTCTGTTTCTCACGGGCGCCCAAAATGATAAATACCCGGTAGGGTATTTGGCCCCCTGACTGGGTATTTTCCACCTGCAGCCCACTTCGTCCCAACTTTGCTCCTTTCGACCCAGAACTCGTTTCTCCGCCTCGATTCCAACGTCGGGTTCTGAAATATGACATAAACACACAACCTAGCGTGAAATCGGCTTAAAACACGAGAATCCACATCTCAAACGGCTTCAGAATAGGGGTGAAAACATGTGTAATTATCGGTCTATCAAACTCCCCCACACTTAACCGTTTGCTTGTCCCCAAGCAAACCTAACTCAAACCAATGCAACTCTCCAGACCTCTATAGCAACAAACAACCCCCGATCGTAGGTAGAGGACTTCCTAGATCATTTAACAGCTTACGAGGTCAACCGACGCACAAGTCATCTCATAGCTTCTTCGGCGAAAGCACTAGTCTCGAGTCGGCATCATGGCAAATAGTGAACAGAGGACAAATGAATCGTGGATGAAGAGACTCTCAAAAACAAAATATCATGGACTCACATTTTTCAAGGTGCTCTATTTTCTTCTTGAAGATGGTTGGAACCCCTTTTCTTTCTTCATTTTTTCTTGTTTTTCTTGTTTTTCTTTTTTTTTCTTTCAAGGGTTCCAACCTGTTTTTTCGGAAAACGGGGCTCCCACCTAGCAAAGGTTTTGCGGGAGCCCAGCT